CTTGGTTGGAATATCAGTCTCAGGAAAGACCCCTGTGCTCAGATTTTTTGGTTTTGTTGCTCTCCTTGTCGAGTTCCTGTCCTCTCCAGATTTTACTGTTTCCCACTTCTTTCCTAAAATTCCCTGCACTCTGTCCAAAGGTTGCCCATAAGTCTCAGCATCTACATTGATAGTCTGCAAGGCAGAGCTTTTCAGAGGTCCTCTGTGTCAGGCTCCTGACTTGTTCCCTCTTTTCTCATTCTTCTGATGTCCAGCTTCTTTGCCTTTATGGATAGGAATTGAGCATTTTAGCAAGAGTCCTCCCTCTTGGTTAGTTTCTTTAGGTGTACAGATTTTAGTAGGTTTATCCTATGTTATATGTCTATATGAGTGAGTATATACCGTGTGCATCTTTCTGCTTCTGAGACAGGGTCTCACTGGCCTGGAACTCAGTATATAGCTGTTGGTCCCAACTGCTGTGATTATAACTTTATATGCTAAACCTAGTTTTTTTTAAAAGATGGAAGAGAAAGATGCCTAATCATAGAAAAACTTTGATCTTAATAAAATGTGACTTATTTTAGCAAAGAAAACATTATGCTGGAAATTCCTTATATTAAAATATTTCTTTTAATTTTCAGAGTACCTTGTGTATATACATATGCACATATATACATCAAACACATACATACTCTGCATGAAGTTAATTTGTTATTTAGTGTGATACATAGATTAGATTATCTTGTTTTTTAAGGTTAAAAATTATATAATGAGATGGAATCTCAGAGTTGTTTTGATTTGCATTCTTCTGATGACTAAGGATGTGGAGTGTTTAAGTGTTTCTCTGCCATTCTATATTCCTCTGTTGAGAATTCTCTGCTTAGCTCTATACCCTATTATTTTATTTGGTTTGTTGGTGTCTAATTTCTTGAATTCTTTATATATTCTGGATATTAGTCCTCTATCGGATGTAGGGTTGGTGATGATTTTTTTCCCCAGTCTGGAGGTTGTTGTTTTCTTCTACTGACAGTGTCCTTTGCTTTACAGAAGCTTTTCAGTTTCACAAAGTCCCATTTATTAATTGTAGATTTTTTAAATTAAACTTTTGTTTTTAATATTAATTAAAGTTTATTTACTTTGTATTCTAGCTGTAGCCCCCTCTCTCATTCCCTCCCAATTCCACGCTCCCTCCCTCATCTCTTCCCTGCCCCTCTCTAAGTCCACTAATAGGGGAGGTCCTCCTCCCCTTCCATCTGATCCTAGCTTATCAGGTCTCTTCAGGACTGGCTGCAATGTCCTCCTCTGTGGCCTAGGAAGACTGTTCCTCCCTCAGCCAGTGGGGGGGGGGGTGTCAAAGAGCCAGCCACTAAGTCCATGTAAGAGACAGTCCTTGTTCCCCTTGCTAGAGAAACCCACTTGGATAATGAGCTGCCATGGGCTATGTCTGAGCAGGGGTTCTAGGTTATATCCATGTATTGTCCTTGGTTGCAAATCAGTCTCAGAAAAGTCCCCCGTGCCTAGATTTATTTGGTCTTTGTGGAGCTCCTGTCCTCTCCAAGTCATATTAACTCCCCCTTCTTTCATATGATTCCCTGCACTCTGCCCAAGGTTTGATTTTGAGTCTCAGCATCTGCTTTGATACACTGCTAGGTAGAGTCGTTCAGAGGCTCTCTATGGTAGGTTCCTGTCCTGTTTCTTGTTTTCTCCTACTTCCAATGTCCATCCCATTTGTCTTTCTAAGTGAGGATTGATCATCTTACCCTGGGTCCTCCTTCTGGTTTAGCTTACTTATGTGTACAGATGTCAGTATGTTTATCCTATCTTCTAGGTCTACTATCCACTTATAAGTGAGTATATACCATGTGTGTGTTTCTGCTTCTGGGATATCTCACTCAGGATATTTTCTAGATCCCATCACTTGCCTGCAAATTTCATGATTTCCTTGTTTTTATTGCTGAGTAGTATTCCACTGTGTAAATGTACCACACCTTCTGTATCCATTCCTCCGTTGAGAGACATCTGGGTTAGAGCCTGAGCTGTTGGTGTTCTGTTCAGGAAGTTGTCTCCTGCGCCAATGAGTTTAAGGCTCTTCCCCACTTTTTCTTCCAATGGATTTAGTGTCTCTGGATTTATGTCAAAAACTCTAGTGACAACACATGCTGGAGAGGATGTGCAGAAAGGGGGAACCCTCCTCCATTGCTGGTGGGAGTGCAAACTTGTACAACCACTTTGGAAATCAATCTGGTGCTTTCTCAGAAAATTGTGAATAGCACTACCTCAAGATCCAGCTATACCTCTTCTGGGCATATACCCCAAAGATGCCCCACCATTCAATAAGGACATTTGTTCAACTATGTTCATAGCAGCTTTATTTGTAATCACCAAAATGTGGAAACAACCTAGATGTCCTGCAATGGAGGAATGGACACAGAAATTGTGGTACATCTACACAGTGGAATACTAATCCGCTATTAAAAAACAAGGAAATCATGAAATTTGCAGGCAGATGGATGGAACTAGAAGAGGTCATCCTGAGTGAGCTAACCCAGAAATAGGATAGGCATGGTATACACTCACTTATAAGCTGATATTAGCTGTATAGTATAGGATAGCCATCTACAGACCTAAAGAAGCTAAACACTAAGGATGACCCTAGGGAGGATGCTTAAATCTCATTCAGAATGTCAAATAGGATAGACACCAAAAGTTGTGGAAGAGAGGAATCAGGATGGGAGGGCCCTCTGAAAGGATTCACCCAACAGGGGATCAAAGCAGATGCTGAGACTCAGGGCCAAACTTTGGGCAGAGCACAGGGAGTCTTATGTAGGAAGAGAGGGGTGGGAAGAGAGGGGACAGGAGATCCACAAGGAGACCAACAAAACTAAAAGATCTGAACCCGGGGGGTCCTGCAGAGACTGATGCACCAACAGAGGAACATGCATGGAGAAGACCTAGACCCCCTGCTCAGATGTGGCCTATTGGCAGCTCAGTCTCCATGTGGATCTCTGAGGGAGGGGATCAGGGGTTGCCTCTATCATTAACTCAGTTGACTGCTTTCTGATCACTCACCCCTGATGATACTGCCTTACTAGGCCATGGAGGAAGAGGATCCAAGAAGTCCTGATGAGACTTAACTAGCTATGGGCAAATGGCAATGGTGGAGAACTCCTTTCAGTGGACCAGGGGAAGGGGATGAGGGGAAGAAGGAGGTAGGGTAGAAATGGGGGAGTTGAGGGAGGGAGCTTCAATCAGAATATATATTGAATAAATTGTGAAGAAAAAATATAAAAATTTAAAAATAGTGCTTGTAAAATAAGATGAAATAAAATGTTCTGCTTGGAAAAAAATATGTAACAAAACTCAAAAGGAAAACAAAAATTGTATCAAATTTTTGGTATATATGAGTAACTATAGACGTACCCTTCAAAAATTTGTGTTAAACCATTTTAATTTTAACCTTTATTGCAAAGCACATTTTATAAACACTAGATAAATTTAAATATAAAAGTTACACATAAATATACAGATACAAAAGAAATAAGCAGTACTATTAATGCAAGAGAAGTAAACTAATAAGATGTTTAAACAAATATGACAATAAAATCACTTTTTATTGCTATTAGTTTTCATAAATTTAAGTTATTCAGAAATCAAATATAGTTAGTATATTATGAGTACTATCAAAGTTTAAAATTACAGAAACAACTAACATAGAACTCCTTATTTTAAAAATCTATCCGATATTCAATAGGCAACTGACAGTTAGTAATGTCAGTAATATCCAGCGTCAGTAAAAGTTCTTATCTAACTGGATAGAAAATTTCAGGCTTTGGTTAACATACTAAATTTGGTGGGAAAATCTAAATTAATGTTTCTTTTACATTATAGTCCTGAGTTTTTGCACAATGCCATAGATGAGATTAGAAAAACAAAACAAAAATTCAGTGTAGTCCAGAAACAAACAAACAAAAAAAAAAACAAGTATTGAGTTTGTTTTAAATGTGAATGACATTTAGTAATATAATGAAGAACGAAAAGAATGCATTTAATTTAGCTTAGCTAAATGCCTCTCACCACTATTTGCAAAGATCATTTGTAAATTATGATAGGAAATTTTATTATGCCTGCCAGCAGTTTTTATTTGCATCTTATAAGATCATATTGACTTTGCAGAACATGGTGCTCTTATAAAAGAAATGTTGAAATGCTGACGGTCAGCATAAGGCTAGGCACAGTATAGGTGCTCACTATTATTAATTTAAAATAAAAAGTATTGTTTCTACACATTAACAATTCAATACGGTAGTTATACATTGGCCTGAAAATATCCAAAACCACTTTCAACATGAAAATACACTTTTAGTAACAACCATAATAGGAAATTTTACAAGTGGTCACTTTTAATCTCAGCTTTATAAAAATAGAGTTTCAGATCACTTTAAATGGGCCTATAAAAGTTGTTCCTGTTAGCTGGCAAATGTGAGAAGATCAACCTATCAACACCTTCAGAACATATTAATTTCAATGATAACACACCCTAAAGCATCTTTAGACTGGACCCCTCAATGTGTATTTCTGAACAACTCCCATACCTACTGGAAAATTACCATGATCAAATGGATTTGAAAAATAATGATTTCACGTAATCAAAACTTTTTATCATTCTTGAACATTAGTTCACATGAGTAAAATATATATATGGAGATTTTGAAACCTATCTAATTTACCATCATACCTAAGTGTTCTTTACCGAAAAGTCACAAGTTTTGCTCTAATTTCTTGATAGTCACAAAGGCTGTCAGACAGTAATTACCTCTGTCAAATCTGCTGCAGATTGGTGTTCTATAGTTTTATGTTGCATATACTTTTTCTTACTAGAAAATAGAAGAATCATCTGGTAGCAGTTGTACCTAAAAAAAAAATAGCCATACTACTTCAGAAGTAGTCCTTAAATCAGCAATGCCAGCATCATTTAGGAATATTTGCAAAGCTGGTTATCGAGTATCTTAGTTTTTTCTTCCTTTGAAATAGAGTCTAATTATTTTGCCAAGGCTGGCCTTGAACTCCTGAGCTCAAGTGATTCTTCCACTTCAGCATCCCAAGTAGCCTGGTACTACAGATAGCACCACCACAGTCAGCTTTCACATACCCATTTCTTTAAAAAATTCAATTTACAAAATAGTATGTAACTCAATGTACAAAATCTCATTAGTCATATAATGCAAGAAGGAAATGATTATTTAACTGGATATGTATTTCTGAAAAAAGTGCATAGGTTTATTAATTATCACCTAGTAAAAAGTTCCTCTAAATTAAAAGAAAAAATAAGTTACAAAATGTACTCTTAAATGAATATCATAGAGCACTAAGGAAATATAGAAAGTTTAAATTACCAGAGATTTGAAAGAACTTTTGTTTTGTTTTGTTTTGCTTTGTTTTGTTTTGAAGATAAAGTTTCTGTGTAGCCCTGGCTGCCCTAGACTTGCTTTGTAGACCAGGCTGGCCTTGAACTCACAGGGATCAGCTTGCCTGTACCTTCCCGAGTGCTGGGATTAAAGGCATGCACCACCATGCCTGGCTTTGAAAGAACTTTTAACTAGTATTAAAATCATATAGAACTGGTATCCACTTCTATTTTCTAAATAATAGTATTAGATGAAGATAAATAATAAAACTGCAAGTTTATTGTAGGAAGTTAAATAGTTTATAAAATGATTAAAACTACTTAATATAAATGAATTATTTCAGATCCTTAAGTAAATGATATGGTATTCAAAGAGTTATTTTAAAAATAGCCTTTAATAATTTTGGCTTACATGAAATTACTAACTGCCAAATGACTAATATATGTATTATCAAACTCTATATAAAGGTTGGAAAGAGCTTAATAGTACGATCCGCTTCATATCCCCATCTGTATCTCAGCAAAGTTATAGAAGCTGTCAACATCTCTAGATGCTGTCTCCTTCTTTTCTGATACAAACACCTATTTAAAATACAAGAAAAACAAAAATATTAGTGCTGTAGCCCTTAAATGCCAAAAACCACATCTTCACAGAACAAATTTAAAAGCTTAGGATTTTATTTTTAAAAAGTTTTTAGATTTATTTCGTATGTGTATGAATGTTTTGCCTGCACGTATGTATGCGTAACACACACATGCCTGGTGGTTTCCTCAGAGGTCGGAAGAGGGTGGATCTGGAGTTACAGATAGTTGTTAGTCTATGGGTTAAGGGATATACCATTGATACAAGTACTATTTGGTTGTGAAGAAAAAGAGATAAAACGGAAAGTTGGATTGAGATATAGTCAGTAAGATCTTATACCTTTGTCCCGTTGAACATCTCATTTATAATAAGGTGACATCCTTCTACAGCACCATCTCCATTAAATTCCAAGGCAATCACGGGACCTGAAAGGAACCCCAAGAAGTATTTTCATAGCATGAATACAAACATATTATAAAACTAATCCTTGTGTTTATTTCATTTTAGATTTTTGATACAATGTATGTAGTCCTGGGTAGCCTGGAATGTACCGTGGAGACCAGACTGCCCTTAAATTTTCCCCATCTTCCTGGCTCTGCCTCCTGAGGATTACAGGTATGCATTACAGCATTTACTTTTGGGTTCTCTTCTAAGAAATGTCCAGTATCTTCATCACGAGGGAAAAAATGAGGTAAATAGAAGGGCATACAACTTCACCCCCCCATCTCTATCATAAAACACTGAGTCTCATCCTATGATGAGTAGCTCCAGTTCTATTATAGGACTAGTGTCACACTTTAAAAAATTATGTATGTGTGTGGGTATGAGCATGTGGAGTGCAGGTGCCTTGTGGAGGCCAGAAGAGGTCATTGGATTCTCTGCAACTGGAGTTACAGACAGCTGATTCTGAGCTGACAGATTTGGGTGCTGGTATCCAAATTCCAGTCCTTTGCAAGAGCAGCAAGCATTTTTAACCACTGAATCATCTCTCTAACCCTCTTAGTGTCATATTTTAAATTGGTGGAAGTTGTCTGTTTTGCCTGGTTTTTATTCTTCTTTTAAAACAAAAGAAAACAAACAAACAAAACCAAAGAATCTCCACTCATTAGCATTACAAAGAATAATGGGCAAAATACCAAATAAGATAAAAAACAATCCCAAGTCAATATAAACAAGCCTTACCAGGCAGCTGGCCTTCCTTCCAGCTCCCCTACTTACCAGCCAGTTCTAGACCACCAACTATGGCACTAAACCAAAAGGGAATCCAGGCCAGGCACTAAAGCAATGCCTCCTTGAAAAATTTTTCCTTGAGTGTGCCTTAAAGCTATGTTCTAAAATCAAAGATCAAGCTTTAATTTTTAATCCTCTGAAGAGAAATATTTGTGCCTCCTTTCCCATCCATTAATTTGAATACTTTTAAAATCCCCCATTTTGGGGTAAAGATTCAGGATTTAATATTTGGCAAACCTGGACTATAACAGTTTTGTTGGCAAGCATGGCCAAGGCCAATTAGGCCATGAGAATGTATATTTTAATTCAATTAATGTTCATTCAGCTATCACTATATTCCTAACAGATCAGCTTTTTATCTCCTAGATGATGGAGAAGTTCTGACCTCCAGGGGCTTACAAATGTGACTTGAAAACAGACATATACTAATTAAACAAACATAAAGCAATATAGAATAATGGAGTACTAAGCATGAAATACTAAAGTGAACAAATAAAATATACTAAGTTTAATGTAGTTATGTGTCCTGGACAAAGGAATGAAAAAGATCTCATTATATTTGGCACCAAAGTAACTGGAAGGTTGCAATTTAATACAGAAAATGTACAGGAGAGGCAAGCAATACAGCAGTCAACAATACGCTTAACCTAGAGAACAAATTAACCTATGAGTTCATAGCACCACAGTATCTGTAGATTATAATAGGTACTGAGTAACAGGAAAGGTATCTGCTTATATTTTTCTTTCTTTTTAAAAATTAATTTATTTAATTTTATTTTATGTGCGTTAATGTGAAGGTGTCAGATCCCTTGGAGTTGGTGTTACAGACAGTTGAGAGCTGCTATGTAGGTGCTGGGAATTAAACCTGGGTTCTTTGGAAGAGCAGACAGTGCTCTTAACCACTAAGCCATCTCTCCAGCCCCATATTTCCTTGCTCTTGGCAAAAAGGCTCCATGGAAAATGTGGATGATAAGAAGAGGGTACTGAGGAGGCTGTAGAGATGACTCCGCAGTTATGAGCAGTCGCTGTTCTTCCAAAGGACCTGAGTTTGAATCCCCACACCCACGTGGCAGCTCATACCTGTCTATACTCCAGTTCCAGGGGATCTGATAACCTTAACATATACAAGTATGCAAAATACCAATTTACATAATTTTTTAAAGAATCATTTAAAAAAAAAAGAGGGTATCGAATGACACCTTGCACAGAGGACTAATTCTAAAGGTAAATTTTTAGGGAAAAGTTCTTATGTTAGAGAACTTATTCTAATCCATAGACCTGTTCAGAAAGCCCCCCCCCCTCAAATGTTCACTGATTGGAAGGAAGAAGGGTCAAATGTAGTAGCATGGATAAGGTGAACATTCTCTCAATGTACCCTTTTCATGAGAAGAAAATTGAAATGCAAAGCACTTCTTTGAAACTATCAATAAAATTAGAAACATCACATGAAAAGGTACCAAATGTCACTAATATCAATAAAATGCAAATAAAACCCACAATAAGATATCAACTTCTCATACATGTTAGGTTAGCTATTATCACAAACAGAAATGTGTTGCTAAGGGTGTGCAGCAAGGAGAACCCTTGTGCACTGCTAGTGGGAACGTAAATTGTTATAGCCTTTATGAAAATACTTCAAAAAAATAAAACTACCATATAATCCAGCAATCTGACTTCTAGGTATATATTAAAAAATCAAATCACTACCCAGAAGGAATTTCTGCATCCCCATGTTCAATGAGACATTGTTCACTATAACCAAGAAATGGAATCAACTTTAGGGGTCTGTTGACAGATGAATAGACCAAAAAAGTACAGTATGAGCCACTCTTGGTGGCATATGCCTTTAATCCCGGCACATGGAGAACAGAGGCAGGCAGATCTCTGTGAATTCAGGTCATCTAGGGTTATACAGTAAGACCTTATCTCAAAAAGTGTCTCTCTTTCACACACATACAACGATAGTAAGTTCTTAAAATTTAATGTATTCTATGGTGACTATAGCTAATAATACTATATTGTATACTAGAAAATGGCTAAGATGAGACTTTAAAGGTTCTTATTACAAAAGGCAATTATAGGGGTCATCAAGATAGTTCAGTGAGTAAAGTTTGCTGCACAAGCCTGGAAACCTGAGTTCAGTCACCAGAACCCAGTAAAGGTAGAAATGGAAAACTGACTTCACAGAGTTGCTTCTGACTACTGTAGTTGTGCTATGGCAATGCACCCACATACATATATACATACATACATACATACATACATACATACATACATACATACATACATACACTAATAATAGATTTTAAACAAAAAAATTGAAGGAAATTATATGAGGTAATATTTGTGGTAATCATTTATGATATATGACGTATATTCATATGTGAGATCACTACATTAGATACTTTAAATGTAATGTCTGCTAACTATACATCAATAAAGCTAAAAAATGTAAATTTACAAAACAGTATATAATCTTTACACTGACAGGAAAGTGAAAGTAAAAGCCTGACAACCTGAGTTTGATCCCTGGGATACACATGGTAGAAGAGGAGTATCAACTCCCACAGTTATCCTCTGACTTCTACATTCATCCCGTAGCACAAATGTGCACACCCTGCAAGATAAATAACCATAGCATATACCATCTCATGCTGACCCTAAGGTGGGATATAATGAGAAGGGCACTTTCCTTCTTCTATAAGACCTTCAACCCTTTCTAACTGAGAACACAGCAAGCAATCTTCCAACAGAGCAATATCCTTCAAACTAACTAGAAGTGTTTCAAAGTTTCAGATTATGAAAAACAAAAGAAGGTTGAAAACTGTCACAAAGTTTGGGAGATGGAGGAAATACAGCGACTAAAGCCAGTGTGAGATCTGTAATTGAATTCTGGAACCCAAACGAGCATGATAAAAATCTGGTGAAATGAGAACAGACTGTATGGGTTAACATTTTACCAATTAAATTTCTTGGTTTTGACAAATGTGACTTGGTTGTGTTAACATTTGGAAATTCGGGTAAAAGATATACAGAAACTATTCATAGTGTCTTTTCAAATTTTCTGTAAATTTAAAATTGACCAAGGACCGTTCATAACCTAGAACCCCTGCACAGATGTAGCTTGTGGCAGCTCAGTCCCCAAATGGGCTCCCTAGTAAGGGGAACAGGGGCTGTCTCTGATATGAACTCAGTGGCTGGCTCTTTGATCACCTCCCCCTGAGGAGGGGGGCAGCCTTACCAGACCACAGAGGAAGACTATGAAAGACAGTCCTGATGAGACCTGATAGGTTAGGGTCAGATAGAAGAGGAGGAGGACCTCCCTCATCAGTAGACTGGGGAAGGAGCATGGGAGAAGATGAGGATGAGAGGGAAGGGTGGGATAGGGAGGAGACAAGGGTGGGGGCTATAGCTGGGATACAAAGTGAAGAAACTGTAATAAATAAAAATTATTAAAAAATGCTGCAAGTGCCACCTCTGCAATTATCAGGATTATTAAAAATTTAACAAGGATATTTGCTCAACTATGTTTGTAGCAGCCTTATTTGTAATAGCCAGAAGCTGGAAACAGCCCAGAGGTCCCTCAGTTGAGGAATGATACAGAAATTGTGGTACATTTACACAATGGAATACTACTCAGCAATTAAAAACAAGAAAATCATGAAATTTGCAGGCAAACGGTGGGAACTAGAAAAGATCATCCTGAGTGAGGTATCCCAGAAGCAGAAAGACACACATGGTATAGACTCACTTATAAGTGGATATTAGACATATAATATAGGATTATCATACTAAAATCTGTATACCTAAAGAAGCTAAGCAGGAAGGAGGACCCTGATCAATGATGATCAATCTTCATTCAGAAAAGCAAAATGGGATGGACATCGGAAGAGGGAGAAAGCAGGGAACAGGACAGGAACCTATCACAGAGGGCCTCTGAAAGATTCTACCCAGCAGGGTATCAAAACATGCTGAGATTCGCTATACCACTCCCAGGCATATATCCAAAAGATGCTCAAATACACAACAAGGACATTTGCTCAACCATGTTTGTAGCAGCTTTATTTGTAATAGCCAGAACCTGGAAACAACTCAGATGTCCATCAACGGAGGAATGGATACAGAAATTGTGGTACTTTTACACAATGGAATACTACTCAGCAATTACAAATGAGGAAATCATGAAATTTGCAGGCAAGTGGTGGGATCCAGAGAAGATCATTCTGAGTGAGGTATCCCAGAAGGAGAAAGACACACATGGTATATACTCAGTTATATAGAGCTATGAGATATGATAAACACACTGAACTCTTTACACCTAAAGAAGATAAACAAGAAAGAGGACCTGGGATAAGATGATCAATCCTCACTTAGAAAGACAAAGAGGATGGACATTGTAGGAGAAAACAAGTAATAGGACAGGAGCCTACCACAGAGGGCCTCTGAAAGACTCTACCTAGCAGTGTATCAAAGCGATGCTGAGACTCAAAACCAAACCTTCAGCAGAGTGCAGGGAATCATATGAAAGAAGGGGGAGTTAATATGACTTGGAGAGGACAGGAGCTCCACAAGGACCAAATATATCTGGGCACAGGGGTCTTTTCTGAGACTGTATTTCCAACCAAGGACCATGTATGGATATAACCTAGAACCTCTGCTTGGATGTAGCCCATGACAGCTCAGTATCCAAGTGGGTACCCTAAAGCGGAACAGGTACTATTTCTGACATGAACTCAATGGTGGGCTCTTTGACCTCCCCGCCCCCCGAGGGAGGAGCGGCCCTGCTAGGCCACAGAGGAGGACATTGCAACCAGTCCTGAAGATACCTGATAAACCAGGGTCAGATGAAAGGGGAGGAGGTCCTCCTCATTTATCAATGGACTTGAAAAGGGGCAGGGAGGAGATGAGGGAGGGAGGGTGGGATTGGGAGGGAATGAGGGAGCAGGATACAGCTGGGATACAAAGTTAATAAACTGTAACTACTATTAAAAAAATAAAAAATTATAAAAAATAAACATGCTGAGATTCATAGCCAAACATTTTGCAGAGTGCAGGGAATCATATGAAGAAGGGGGAGATAAAAAGACCTGGAGGGGATAGGAGCTCTACAAGAAGAGCAACAGAATTAAAAAATCTGGTCACAGGGGTCTTTGCTGAGACTGATACTCCAAACAAGGGCCATACAGGGAGATAACTTAGAACCCTGCACAGAAGTAGCCCATGGCAGCTCAGTGTCTAAGAGGGTTCCCCAATAATAGGAACAGGAACTGTCTTTGACATGAACTCATGGCCTGGCTCTTTAATCACCTCCACCTGAGGGAGGAGCAGCCTTACCAGTCCACAGAGGAAGACAAAAGAAGCCAGTCCTGATGAGACCTGATAGACTAGGATCAGATGGAAGTGAAGGAGGACCTACCCCATCATTGGGCTGGGGGAGGGGCATAGGAGAAGAGGGAGGGAGGGTGCGATTAGGAGGAGATGGGGGAGAGGGCTACAGATAGGATACAAAGTGAATAATCAAACAAATAGATAAATTTTAAAAAAGAAAAAAATTTAAATTTTTTTTAAAATAAAAAGCATGGAAATATCTACAGCGGCTGCACATGGTGGCACATGCCTATAATCCCAGCACTCGGGAGGAAGAGGCAGCCAGACCTTTATGAGTTTGAGGCCAACCTGGTCTACAAAGTGAGTCCAGGACAGCCAAGACTACACAAAGAATCAATCTGGAAAATAACAACAAAAAGAAAATGTCTAATAGCTTATCTCATTTCAGACTAAATCACCAAATCTACAGTGGCCTACAAAGAGCTCCATGTTGTCTGACCTCTCTACTAATGCTTACCTACTGTGTGTGCAGAATAGGAGAAAGCTCAAAAACAAAGCAACACAAGATGCTCAGGACCATCTGAAAAACTACCAAAAATTTTCATTCCAAAATCACACCATAAAGATTTCTGAATCACTCCCTTTGAGATAGTAGTTGGAAATGTGTATTTTAAAAAATATCCTAGATAGTTTTGAAGTTTTCAAGTGGCCAACAATAGATTCTCTTATTATTATTATCAAACAGTGACCCTTATTAACTAAAACTAGGTAATTGAGATTAAAGACTAGTTTAGATTCAGCTGTGAATTATAACAAAAGTAAATTTACAAGGGTAAGACTACCTTTTTAAAAAATGGTTTTAATTGAGAGTAATTGTTCCCTTAAAGACACCAGGCAATGTCTAAAGAAATTTTTGTTGTTGCCAACTGAAGATATTGGTATCTAATGGACAGGAGCCAGAAATGCTGCTCAACATTCTATAGGGCACAGGCCAGCCTTCTTCAGAACAAAGAATTAACTGACTTAAGATGTCAGTGGTGCCAAGGCTGAGAAATCCTGCCTGAAAAAGATTACTTGTTACCTTAAAAGAGGTCCCAGTCCACCCTGTTAGAACATTAGCACCGAGTCTGCCAGCTAGTCCACATGAGCTAATATACTCACTATTGGACAGCTTGACTTGTTCTTAAATTGGTGGAAGGGAGCTTGAGAATAAATTGGATAACTTTTTAAAAGTTTATTATTATTATTATTATTATTATTATTATTATTATTGTTATTATTTTGTATGCATGGAATGTTTTGCCTGCATGAATGCCTGTGGACCATGTACATGCAGTGCCTTTGAAGGCCAGAAGAGAGCATCGGAACCCTGGGAACAGGAGTTACAACCAATTGTCAGCCACCATGTAAGGCTAGAATCTGGGTCCTCTGGAGGAGCAACCACTCCTCTTGCCCACTGATGCATTACCCCAACCCCTCCATGTTTTATTTTGAAACACACACACACACACACACACACATTATAAAAACACTGAAAGAACACCATATTTATCCATCTTATTGTTTCGAGGCCAGCCTTGTCTACAGAGTTAGATCCAGGACAGCCAGGGCTACACAGAGAAACCTTGTCTCAAAACAACCAAACAAGAAAATAAAAGACAAAAAAAAAAATATCTGTCTCACCTTTAACTATAGTAGTACCAAAAGTCAAAATTTGGCCACATAGGTTTTCTTTATTTTAATTGATTTGTTTGTTTACTTATTTATTTTTATAGATGTGCGTTGTGTGAGTGCTCATGCCATGGCAAACTTATGGAAGTCAGAGCACAACTTCTGGGAGTTAGTTCTCTCCATGTAGGGACCCAGGGGATGAACTCAGGTCATCAAGATTGGAGGCAAGTGCTTTCACTGATTGAGTCATTTGCTAGCCCCTACATACATCATGCGCACACACATGCTTTATTTTTGTTTTGGCGATACCATGATACTCAGCATGCATATCCTACCTAACCACGATACTATTTCCATACCTAAGAAAATTAAACAACTCTTATCATTGTTGTTATAAAAGAATGAAAATCCCAACTGTTTTACTTTACCAATAAAGACTCAGGAGCCAGATGTTGGAGTGAAATCCTGCTAGGTCAGAGAGTCAGAGACAGCACCCAGCTTACCTTCTTTCTCAGCTCCCATCCAATGGAAAAAGCCCAAAAGGCTCACTAGCTCAGTTGGCAGCCTAGGAGGAAAAGGTCAAAAAACCCAAGGCCTAGGCTTGCTAGCTAGTGCAAAGCTCAAAAAGTCCAAAAGCCAGAGACTTAAAGCTCAAGAGCTAGAGAGTTAAGGGCTAAAGCTTCTTCTACTTCTCTAGGTTGTCTTAAATACCCCTGAACTCAAAGTCCCTCCTACTCTTAATTCCTGTCAGCTGGTTTCTTGATCTGCCTCTTGATGTAGGGTTAACTATATTAAATCCTGTGTACAGAAAACTCTTAGATTAAAGGTGTGTGCTAGGGCTGGCTGAACCACACCATAATCACCTGTTTATAATAAGCAGAAAATTCTTGGATTAAAGGTGTGTGCTAGAGCTCAACCACACCAAAGAAACAGTTTTGGGGTTCACAATGGGATCAAATATCCTACAACATATCTTCAAACTTGTAGTTTAAACTCTCCCTTTATAGTCTACTCCACATCAATCCCATATTCAATCAAGGTTCTCTCATTGCATTCATTGTTACATCTGTTTGGATTATTTTAATCCAAAAGAATCCCCTTATTTGAAAAATTCTTACTAGTTATCTTTCAGGATGTCTTGTATTTTACACTTGCTTCATTATTTCCCTGTGATGTCATTTAACTTTCTTTCCTATCTTGGTTCATTTATCATATGAATTGAAAAAAAATTACCTTTGTCCAGATTTTTAAAAAAGGAAAAGGATAGAGATGGGTACAGTGGTGCATGCCTGTAATCTGAGATACTCAGATAGGTAGAGGCAGGTCAGTCTCTGTGATTTCAAGGCCAGCCTGGTCTACAAATCAAGTTCAGGACAGCCAGGGCCACACAGAGAAAACTTGTCTTGAAAAAAAACAGAAAAGCAAAACTTAAAAAAGAACAAACAAGGACAGAAGAAGCAGAAGGTAAGAGGCAGCCTGTAATCTTAATGCTCACCTCCCCTCTTTTGTAAAGCAGTCTCAAGTAGTCCAAGTTGGCCCTGAATTCATGATATAGATGAGGATGGCCTGAACTCCTAACTTTTTGACTCTACCTCCTGAGCACAGGGATTACAGGTGTGTACCCTCTCCTTTTCCACAGGTGCATGTATACCTGTTGTTACATTGCCTTGATTATTCTCTTGTTGGTGTTATTTATTTATTTATTTATTTATTTATTTATTTATTTATTTATTTATTTATTT